GCCCTGCAAGCCCGGCCACCCCGCCTCCGCGCGACCCACTCAGCGCCGCCCGATGGGCGGCTCCAGGTCTAGCCGGCCGGCCGCCTTCCAGCAGCCCATTGGCTGCGCCCTGATTCCTCGGCCCCGCCCATTTCCCCGGGTCCTTTGATCACGCGCCTGCCTGCTCTTCCGGGGCGCGGGAGCCAACCGAGGGCGTTGCTGTCCGGGCTGCCGCGGCGGGAGGTAAGGTTTGGCGGGGTTGGACGGGCTGCAGAGCGCGGGCATGGGTCCACGCCTCGGGCTGCCGGGATTCCAGGATGCCACGGTCTGGGGCGGCCCTCTGCGCTCCCCCAAGCCCCCTCCCGCGGCCCGAGCCTCCACCGTGGGAAGTACCGCCGGCTCTCGGTTGTTGGTCCGCATCCTAGGAGTCACCGGACACCCTTCCCACCTTGCATGTCCCCTCCATCATGGGACGGTGAGCACGCGTCTAGGGCACACCTTGGTGCCCCACGGAGACCCGGACAAGTAGCTTGCACCTGGCCCTCCGATGGAAACCCAGGCGAACCGGGGTCAAGGACCTCGGGGCATCGGCGTGCAGCCAGCACCAACCGACTCCTTGCATTTACCGGTGGGCAGTGGGCACTGACCCTCTCCTACACCTGTCGGCCCAGGCCTTGAGAGGAGGGACCTGGGCGGAGCCCCGGGTGGGGACCAGCGGGAGGTGACATCATCTCACAGATACAGTCCAGCCCTGCCCACTTGTGTCCACCCTCGCAGCAGAGAGGTGTGGGAGAGGGTGTCCAGGTTTTGTGTCCAGAGTGGCACCAGGGACAAGGAGGGCATCGGGACTGAAGTGTGGGAGTTGCACCGGGACTGGCCAGCAGGCAGGACCCTCAGATGTCTCCCTCATCTATTTCGCTGAGATTGGCTGTGTGCCTTAGAAAGTCTGGGGCAGGAAGTGGGACTCTTTCCCCAGGAGTTGAGATCTGCAAATAATTGGGCCAGGCCCAGAGCTGGGCTCCACCCTGATTTGGGGATAGTTGCTGGGCAGGCTCGGGTCCTGGGTTGGGGTTTCCCCTGGTACTCTTTCCACCCAAGACTGCCTGGTCACTGGCGCCAAAGCCAGCACACTGACCTAGAGAGGAGCCTCTGTCCCAGCATCTGCCCCAGGTTTCCTTGTATCTCCAGCGTTGGGGGAGGGCTCCGGAGCCCGGATGCCTGTCACCCTGGGGCCACCTGTTAACCCGCCTCCCTCACCCCCAGGGAGCCCAGTGGAGGCGCCCTCCCGAGGCACTACTCCATGCTGACCACCCAGCTCTCCAGCTGCCGATGTCATGAGTAACACCACAGTGCCCAATGCCCCGCAGGCCAACAGCGACTCCATGGTGGGCTACGTGTTGGGGCCTTTCTTCCTCATCACCCTGGTCGGCGTGGTGGTGGCTGTGGTAAGGAGTGCTGGACAAGCACACGTGGACACCCACAGCTTTGCAAAGACAGGGCTGGGGGGCCTGGTCCAGCCCATACACAGCCTCTGCTGTCCTGTGATGGGAGTGGAGGGTGCGGAGGTGGGTCTCCCTTGATTGTGGGCCACTGTGGGTCCAGCAGCCTCCACTGTGCTGTCTCTGTTACAGGTAATGTATGTCCAGAAGAAAAAGCGGTGAGTGTCCCCACCCCTAGTGGTGCCCCCCACCCCCCAAACTCTGCTTACACTTACTCCCAGGGACCTGAGTTCTCTGTATATGTCCACTGCCCCTCAGCCATCTTGCTACAAGCCTGGAATTCCTTCTACCCCGTTAGGTTTTCCTGTTGGCTTGGCTTACCCACCGGAAAAAGCAGCCCCGTTAGCACCTGGCATGTATATCCTTAGGGCTGGCTGTCAGCTGCTTCAAGAGGAGACAGGTGCCTGTGGCCTGAGCCCCTCTCTTGCTTCCCAGGGTGGACCGGCTTCGCCATCACCTGCTCCCCATGTACAGCTATGACCCTGCTGAGGAACTGCACGAAGCAGAGCAGGAGCTCCTCTCTGATGTGGGCGACCCCAAAGTGAGCATCCTGAGGACAGGGAAAGCCAGGCAGCTGGAAACCAGAGTCCAGCTCAGCGCTCTGATGGGGCTGACTAGTGGGGCGAGCCCAGCCCTACGGTGTATTCTCTAACCCACAGGTGGTACCCGGCTGGCAGAGTGGCTACCAGCACAAGCGGATGCCCTTGCTGGATGTCAAGACCTGACAACACCCTCGCTCTGACCTTCAGACTGTAGGGGCCTGGAGTGCCCAGCTGCTGCCCTCCCCAGGGGCCCCCAGCTTCCTGGGCGCTGGGCCTCAGGTCCTCCCACCCATCCTGTCTGCAGCAGCACCCACCACCGTGATCCTTGCCTAGCAGCCAGCCCATCACCTCACCCCCTCCTTCAGCGCCCACGGCTGAGCTTGCGCCCACCCCCAGGCACTAAGGGGGCCCATGGGGAGGTAGCTCGGCCCTTTCCGTGGGCCCTGTCTTTCTTCCCTGGCTCTCCCTGTCTTGGCTTTGGAGTTTCCTTGGTGACAGGGCCTGATGTATAGTATTCAGTATATATATTTTGTAAATAAATTGTTTTGTGGCTAGAGGCATGGCAGATTTCTTCAAGTCTTCCGTTTCAGTGCTGGGCAGAGCACCTCCAAAGGAGCCCCACCACCACCACCACCACAGGCAAGACTCCAGTCCAGAAAAGGATATTTTTTTTTTATTCAAGTAACTGCAAATAGGAAACCAGAGGGGGGCCCCAGGCTGGGACAAATAACGGCTACCTCCTCCCCAACAGAACAGGGGGAGAAGGTGGCCCCTACACCCGACAGTCAACACAGCCCCCCTCGCTCTGCTGCAGCATCCTAGGGGCAGAGCCCCACCTTCCCTGGAACTGGGGTGGTCGGCCTGCTTTGCCCCAGGCCCCTTCCCCTAAGAACATCTTGGAGGAGGGGTGTGGGCGGAACAGGAGGCAATGAGGATGAGCACTTGGCGCTGATAGCAGCAGCAATGACAGATGTCTAAGAATGGAACATTGAACAAAAAACAACACAACTGTCCAGAGGTAGTTTGTGAACAGAGGAAAGATGGAACCAGAACCTTGGGGGCTGGGGAGGAGCAGGAGGGTGGGAGTGGGCAAGGCTAGCTCCTTGTTATTAGTGCCCCGTGTGAGGAAAGGGGAAACTGAGGCCTAGAGAGAGCAGATGGGGGGGGCTAGGGGGCTCAGACCCCTCCTCCCTTCCTTCCAGTACCCCAAGGGGAACTGCTCAACCTGATACGGAGACTGGTTAAGGTGAAGGAAGAAAAGTGGGTGTGAGCCACACCTGGTGAGTAACACAGGTTGGGATGCTGGGAGCATCTTGGCCAAGCAGCCCACCCCACTGGCCACGCCTGCCAGTACAGTGGAGTGGGGCCTTAGAATGAGATGGGGCTTGGGCCCCTTAAGGCCAGCGGGGCCCACCTAGGCCCCTGAACGGGAAACCAGAAGGAAGAGTGGGGGAGCAGGAGGGATTCCCAAACCAAGAGCCCAGACAGCAATGTCCCCACCGCTGAGAGCAGGGAGGCAGCAGGTGCAGGTTGCAGCTAAGTGGCAAGTCAGCTTTGTCCAGGAGGGCAAGTGTGTGTGCAGGCGAGAGGGCTTGCTGGGAACTGAGCCCAAAGGGAACTGCTCCCCACTCCGGCCTTAGGGGCCCCGCGGCGGCTGGTGTGCTGTGTAGTGTGTGGTGGTGAGGGTGCAGGTGGGTGGCGGCAGGGAGGGGTGGTGATGCGTGGGCCTAGGGTGGGGGCGGTGGGAGCGGAGCTGTCCAGTCCCAGAAGGAAACTGCTCCTGGGTGAGGGAGCAGGCGGCACGGCGCGGTCACTGCTCACTGCTCCTCCTCCGAGGACTCCTGCGAGATGCCCTCTTCTTCCTCCTTCTCCTATGAGAGGCAGGCAGGGCCATCAGTAGGAGGCCCAGGCCTGGCCCCCCCCCACCCCCCACCCCCAATCCCCAGGGCTGAGGGAGGGAGGCCTGAGGCTGGACCCCACCACCTCCCCCTGCACTTGCTAGCTCTCCAGAACAGGGATGAGTCAGGGCTGAGTGTGTGGGTGACTCAGCAACCTCCAGAGCCCAGTTTCATTCATAAAAAAAGAACAAATTTAAGGGAGGGAAACAAACCACACACACTGCTCTCAGAGCCAGGCCCCTCTGGCCCACGGTGGGGGCCAAGCAAAGCACATCGTGCACGGAACCCCAGGAAGAGAGGAAGTGACTGGCTGTCCGTAGGGAAGGCGGTGGTAGGGAAGGCGGTGGCAGGGGGGACGGATGGAAGGGGTGGCTGGAGGATGTGCGAGCCCCCCCTGGTGGATGCAGGGGAGCCAGGTGGCCTGGCCCCCAGGAGGGCTGACCCCAGGCCAGGGTGGGGGGAAGGAGAAGTGTGGCTGCGGGGCTCACTCACTGGGCGGGAATGCTGGGACGCCACATGGGACGCTACATGGACCTTCGCCCCGTGCCAGGCACAAACTCCAAATCAACTTGTTTCCGGTTACTCACTCCTGGGCCCTGGCCAGCACCCCTCTAGCCCCCCTTACCCCTGTGGCTCAGCTCGAGGAATGAATGCTTCCTGAAGCTGAGGGAGCAGGTGGGGGTAGGAAAAGGTCAGCGAGAAGGTTTGGGGCTCTAACTGCAGTGAACCCCTAAAGTTCTCCTGACTCACCTATTTCCACCACCAGTTAAGGGGCCCAAAAATGGGCTGTGGAGGTGCTTCCGCCCGACCCCGACCCGGCACTGAGCCCACCCCCAAGGCCGAGGTGCTGCTTCCTCCCTCCCCTAGATGTCTGCAGGATCCTTTCTTCATTCCTATGCTGGCAGAGAGACTCGATGACCTCCCAGATGCCCCCTGAAGTCTGAGTGCTCCACTGTAGAAGCCAAAGGTAGGGTACCACCAGACCTGGTCCCGTCTGCACCTTGGAGCCCTACTGCTTTAAAAGGCCTGGATGCCGCCCCTCTGGGCCCGGGTACAAGGTACTGCCACCCTGGCGGCCTCTGCCAGTCAGGTCAGGCTTCACCCACTAACACCCTCCCCAAAGAGTCAAGTTGCAAGCCCACCCCTTTACCTACCAGTTTTTTGGGTCTGCCCCTTGGTTTCCTCCCTGGAGTTGTTGTGGTTTTCTAGGCAGTGAGAGAGAAGATGCCCTAAGTCAACAAAGATTGCAACCAGGTGCGGTACCCGGGATAACAAGGGGGAGGAACAGTGGGTCTGCTCAGGACTCACCCCAGTAGGTCCACCATGTACAGCTGGGGATGACGGGCCAGCCACCACGCCCCCAACATACACACACGCCCCCCACCCGTGACTCAGAGGATATGAGTCGTATTTCAGAAAAAAGTACAATTAAAAAAAAAAAACAAAACTGAAGGCCGATGCCACCAAGAATGTGGCCCTCACCCCTATCCGCTGGGGCTCCAAAGCACCCAGCACAGCAGGTCCACTCAGCCCAGGAGAGGGCGGAGCTGCTCGTCCCTCCTCCCCACCTTGCCGTCTCCAAGTCTCCAAACCAGGAAACGCGAGGACATGACTTGCTTTACCATTGCACCAGTGCCCCAGGTAGGCCAAGGCCCCCAAGTGAGACCTCACCCTCGCCTTACCCCTCTCACTAGAAGAGACCCGCTGCCACACATTAACCCAGGAGGGGCGCCAGTGGCCCCTCGCAGACGCCCTCACAGCTGTACCTGTGGGGGCCCCTGAGCCGCCCACTAGCAGGGGTCCTTCCTCAAGCCTTACCCGGGTCTTGGCAGCACCCTTGTTTTTGCTCCCCTTTGGTCGGCCCCGAGGTCTCTTAGGTGTCGGCACTTCACTGGGCTCCTTCTGTAATGACAGATGAGGCGGTGAGAGACACAGGTGCCCCTGCGCCACCTCTTCAAGAAGACAGAGCCTCCCTGCCCACCCCAGCAGAGTCAGGTCAGCAAGTCATCACCCCAGGAATCCACAGGAACTACAGAGGAGAAATCTTCATTCAAGCTCCAAGTTTGACCCGATTTGGCCAAGTCCCTCACCTCGCTTCCCCAGAGTGAGAGAATGACAGGCTGCCTAAAGACCCTCGGGGGCAGGTACACTGGCAGGCCTGCCCACCTGGAGCAAGACACGTACTTGCCTGAGCCTCTGAGTTCTGAGCTCCCTCCTCTGTAAACATCGCTGAGACTTACCTTGCAGGTGTCATGAAGATTAACGCATGCCTGTATGACAACTGTCTAGCACACACAACCCCCGGTCCCCGGGTCAGGACCCCTGCCAACCCCCCTCAGGTGATAACATGCTGGCAGCCGCTAGGGATACAGAAGAGGGCCAAGTAACCCCCAAATCCCTATCTCCTAGGAGGCTTCTAGGAGATAGGGATTTGGGGGTTACAGCCTCTACCTGCAAGCTGGAATCCTTCCAGGCTTCCTCCCAAGAGAAGGAACCCCAAAGATCCTGGCTGCTATTGCCCCTAAATAAGCCGCCAGAGTCAGAATGAGACGCTTGCACATAATGCACAGGAGCCGAGTGGTGAAGGCCTATGAGCTAGTGTCCCCGGGGCGGGGGCTGCTTGTACAACTGCAGTCCAGTGACCCTGATGCCTCTCCACTGACCGCCAACAACCTGAAAGCAGGCAGGGGCAGTGGAGAAGCCAAGGGCAGGCTGAAAGGATGTATGTGTCCCCCAGAACTGTGGGCTCGGAAAGAGCCAGCTGCATTCCACCACACTCCAGAGACCCCTTACGGCTGGTGCCAGAAACTGGTCATTACAGACACCCAGACAGAGAGAGGGGGAAGCTTGAGCGCCGACGTTGCAGAACAAGCTCCCGTCCTTTCTTTGGCAGCCAAGTTAACTGGGATTCCCCAACAGCTGCCCCTCTGCTCAAGGACACACACTGAGAGAAACCCAGGACCTCCATTACGTGAGTGTCCCCACAAGTGCCAGGCCAGCCTTAGGGTAGGATTGCACCAGAGCTCTATCGGCAACACCCCAACATTTTTCGCTTCTTGGCCTTCATTTCCTTCTACAGAACCAGAGGCAAAGCCTGGTCCAAGGTCACGTAAAACGAGGCCCATGAGCAAGTGCTTTCTGATACTGGTGAGATGAGAAGTAAGAAACTGACAAGCATGTAGGACCCTCTCCAATAAGCTGACCAAGCACTGTCGTGCGCCACAAGTCTAACCCCAGCCCCTGGACTTACAGGTATGCATCTTCCTGTTTCTGCAACTCATCTTCATGACATTTTACACTAACTGGAATACAGGGTGGGTGTACGCGCTAGTCTGTAAGCCACATGTGGACTCTGGCCCAGGCTCAGAACTCAAATTTCTTAGACTTCTCTCCTGGGTGGTCCCAGGAGGATCTGAGCAGGACCACTTGTGCTGGGGCCACAGCCTTGTATGGAGAGGACACATGTATGCAGGAATGACTCTACACCCGTTTCTGGTTTTGCCTGCTGAAACGCCACTACCTCCCGAGCCCAAAGGGGTAAACTGAGGCAAAAGTTTAGACACCCACCTGACTCCCTACCAGCGCCGTCCCGGGACTCACCGGAGGCTGCTTGCGCGGCCTGCCTCGCCCTCGTTTCTCAGTGCCGTCCTTCTCCTGCTTGGAGGCCAAGGGCTGGCTGGACTTCGAGCTCGACTCACTCATCTTCCCTTTTCTACAGAGCAGGTAGAAAAGCAATGGCTAGGATGCTAGAAGGCAAAGAGAGTGGTCTTAAAACTTTGCTTCATAAGCTACCTCCTACCTAACCCCTCAACACCACCACCCTCAAAGTGGAGGGCAGGATAACTCCCTTCCCCCAGAGCCACGCAGGAAGCCCCCACACACACTAGGTGGTCTGTGAAGGCCCAGGAAGCTGGCCCAGGGCAGTACTGGCCCACCGGCTTTGGTCCATGCCCGATGTCCCATTTAGAAGTGTTCTCTGTTGTCCAGTCACCAGCCCAGACTGTGGGTGAGAACACTATGGGCAAAATATGGCCCAGGTAAAGGTCCTCACACTGCCAGGGCCTCTCTCTCGATCCTGTGACTGCTATTTTCCTCTTTAGGAATAAAGAATGAGCCCTGAGCAGCTATGGATAGACATCAAAACTCCCCACCCCCCACCTGCAGACCAAATCAAAGGGCCAGTGAGACACTC